AAGCAAATGCAAAAGCCATTCTTTTCAGGGAGCAAAACAGTTATTCTGGTTTGATCCAGAAATGAAAGACATGCTTCTTACAAAGGGGCATTACCTAGAATGGAAGATCGTTCCACTTTCGCCATGATTCTCCGACTCAGGAGTTGGATACTCTCTCTTTAGGAATGTGACTTATTTCCCTTCTCTTTCTGAAAGTATATTCTTTTGCCTACCAATACCAGAGAGATATTTCTACTCCCTTCCCACTGGAAGAAATTCATTCCACTTGAACTTCACTAAAATGTCTTCATTGCTTCAACTGCTTGCCCTAAAAAAGAGTCGGAGGCTAATCAGTGTCAGTGTTATCAGTTATAAGCACAAAGGGGCGTCTGGAATATCCAAAATAGCTGGCCGGACAGTGGGTGTGAGAAAAAAAAAGGAGACAAGAGCCCCAACGCTAGATTTTATTTTGACTACAGCAGTTACTTGTATCTCCTTACTCTTAGGTACTTCCGAGTTAAGGATTCATTTCCCTGCAGAAGTTGAAGAGGACACCCGCGCTGCTTTATCAAAGATAAGGGGTCTAAGAGAGATCATGGGGCCTCCCTGTGGCCCAACAGGTTAAAGCGCAGCACCATGAAGTTACTGCACAGCCACTGCAGCACGAGTTCGATCCCCGCCAGGGAGCTGACCCACATGACGCAGCAGACCTCTCCTGTCCCCACCTGATACACCCCTCAGCAGTGGATTTCAGTCAATCTGCCTATTCTACTCCCCACTCTGTCTGTGGTGAATCCTCTCAACCACCCCAACTCTTATATATATATATAAAAATAAATCTCTAAAAAAAAAAACTGTACTCAACCTGACAGTGGGAGATCCTATTGTTACTTCAATTAAAAGACATAATTAAATGTACTTATTTAAAAATAAAAACTTTATTAGGTCAAAACATTCCTCTTTCCTTTGCCTCCAGTTTATGTGACACAGCAAATTGCTGGCAAAATAATGCTGTTTCAATAAAGAAACAAGCCAATTTGCTATTAAGATAGTTTCACACTAAAACCTACAATCAAAGACAAACTATAGGCTTACTGAAGTTTTTTCCTACAAAGTTAAATAACAATAGTTATCCTTCAGGAGATCTGAAAATTATTTCTTGTTTTCCTCTTAACGCCTTATTTTCTAAACATTAATAATAACCAAGGGAATTTGCAGCAACTATGCAAATTCATATGCTAAGAATACATTTGCCCATGATAAAAGTAGGTATCAGAGTTGACATTGCCATATTCTACCCTGAAACTTAAAATCATCAGATTTTAAATGGAAAAGGAATATTAAGAGATTATTTAACACAGAATATTTTTGGAAGTTCCCCTAAAAAAATCTACCCTGTATGAACAGAAAGGTAACACAATATGAAGACATATCATTTTTCTGAGTATCATTCTGTGCCTTTGAAATTTGAGCCAAGTGTAATTTACAAACACACATTTGTTAGTCAACTTGTTATAAATCACTGAGGGAACACAAGGAAATCCTCATTCTCCAAAGGAAAAACCTGCAGTCAAAAAGTTAATGAGCTGCTGAGACACTGCTATATGGTGAAAATGCTGGAACTAGAACTCAAGAACCTACTAGAAGCTTCCAGTGCTTTCCACCTCACGTGATGCTGTGTGGTAAAATGGCAAATGCCCTCTGATAAGTGATAAAAACATTACTGCAATCCTTTTCAGAACTGTGGCCTTGCAGAGGTGCTGGTGAGAAAAAAGCTGATCATTACTGTTTCCACAGAAGCTCCAAGGCAGAGGAACGCAGATGACAATCCTCATGGCCCAGACTCACGCCAAGCAGAGCTGGCAGACACAGCCCCTGGATCAGCTGGGGATAGTGTGTCTCCTCTAGGGCATAATGGGACTCAAGCTTGTGATCAGGCCAGGAAAGTTTTGCAGTGCTCCTAATTGCTAAGAGTCAGGGTGTCTGATGAGGCAGAATAGCTTTAGGAGTACAAAGAGCTTATTGCTAGAAAATTGACAGGAAACCAAGCAAAAGCAGACTCCAGGAAATTTCTGCTTTGAAAGAAGCCATAACAATTCCACTGTGGAATCTGTCTTGAATGACAGAACTAATGAAATAACCAAGGAGCCCTTCCAGTCCCAATTATCAAAAACAGAGAGACAAGAAGACAGTTCCAGCTCTGAAGTAATTCCAGCATGCTTCCCTCTTGGTAAAAACCGTTAATTTTATCTTTCAGCAGCACAAATGCAGTAGCAACAGCAGGGAAAGAATAAGAGACACCAGACATCAAAATGACCCAAGGATCTTGGAAAAAAGGAGATTGGTTAGGGGGCTTATGCTGTGCTTTGAGGTCTGTTTGTAGCTAGACCTTCACACTTGAAGAAGTACATGCATGTCAGATGTTCACCATAGCTAGGGATTCATTATATTTAAGCAGTGGGTAAATCTACTTGCCAATAATTAGTGATCTGAGGAAACATTTTAAAAAGAGAACATGGGAGAAAATAACAAGACACATAATTATGTCAGTCCTGGAAGCCATAACCCACAGCCACTGCAACTGTTCATTTTTTTTTTTTTTAAAAAGATTTACTTATGGCCCTCCCTGGTGGCGCAGCGGGTTAAAGCACAGCACTGAGAAGCTAAAGCCACTTCCGCATGAGTTCGATTCCCGCCTGCCCCGGAGGAGACCACATGGCGAGGCAGACCTCTCCTGACCCGCCCGCTGCTCCCCTCAGCAGTGTACTTTGTAGATCTGCCTGTTCTGCTCCCCACTCTCTCTGGTGAATCCTCTCACCCTCCGCATCTCTGAAATGTACCCCAGCTTTATTATGAATAAATAAATAAATCTAAAAAAAAAAAAATTTACTTATTTATGCATACAAAACTGGGGTACAGGGCAAAGGTGAGAGGATTCATCAGAGTCAGAGTGGGTAGCAGAATAGTCAGTTCCACTGAAATACACTGCTGAGGTGAGCAGCTGGCGGGTCAGGAGAGGTCTGCTGTGCCATGTGGTTCAGCTCCTGGGCTGGGGATCGAACTCGTGCTTCAGTGGCTGCAGATAGCTTCATAGTGCTGAGACTTAAGCCCCTGTGCCACCAGGGAGGCCCTGACTATTCATATTTCTAAAGAGAAACCATGGTTTATAGATAAAACATAGACCAAGGCTTTCTATGTCAACTCTGGGTCACAAAGTCACAATACCCCATCCAAGTCTTTCATCACACCATCTAGTCTCTATCAGGAACAAAAGGCTCAAGTTCTAGCACTTAGCCAAGCATGGGAATGAGGCATATAAAATGTCTAGCCTCAGCAAAGTTCTTCAGAGTGCTGTTACAAAGTCCATCTCCAATTTTCACTAAATGTTTCAGATACAGGAAGAAAATCTGAAGTTGACTTGTTAATAATTTTTCTATGTTGTTGACAATAAATTTACCTCATGGTTAAACAGGCACATCATTCAAAAAAAGAAAAAGTCACCGGGAAATTTGAGGTTAGATGATATCCTTCCTAGTGAAAGGTATCCCTACTAAAAACTCTATCAAATGTATTTTCTAGAAAACAGTCAACACACAACCTGAAGCTAAAAATGCAAGAGACATTTCACTTCCTCTCACCAACAAATCTGTTAAACAGAGATAGAAGCAGCACTAAATATTACCTAAGGCAGGAGAAACCTTTGGTGACTCACATTTTGCTTTGATGTCAAGTTTAAAATTAAAGACTGGGTTTCTTTGGGAAGAAAATGAGGGGAAACTTGTGTTATTCCTTTAAACTTCAGGACCAATAAATTAAAAACTGTTTTGCCTCCTAGTCCCAATTTCAAAGATAATTCCTTTATTCCCCCCCAAAAGCATGAGTCATATCAAACATCTGGCACCATGAAATTTACTGTCTTAAATGCATTCATTTAAGATTAGTGCCCACAAGTACCATCTGACTTCATTAAATATGCTAAAGTTTAGCTTTTACCTCCTACGGCTTCCTTACTTATAACTCGCAGATTACCTTTCTCCCAGTTTGGAAAAAAAAAAAAAAAAAGAGCAATGAACATCTCTCACAGAGCGCAGTTCTCACAGACATAAAACTCGATGAAAGGAAAATGGGTGTTCCTCACCCCAGGGCCTCTTTTAATGGCCTAACCCTGTTTAAATATGTACTCATCAGAATTGCAGACCAACTCTTACCTAAATTTTTCTTTGCCATGGTAATGGAATAAAACAAAACGAGAACTCCAGTTGATGTAACTTATTCAAATCATCAAACAAAGCCAAAGTTTTAAGCTAATGATATTCCTCTGTTCCCCATTAACTTTCAGTGAACCTCACTTACAAGAAATTGACAGGCTTAGATTTAGGACCGTTTTATTTCCCAGGCTCTCCCTCTGGCGGAGGCAGGAAAAAAAGAGGGCATCGCAGAGAAAAAGAGAATCACAAACAAGCGTATGGTACTTTGCAACTCACATAATCCTCAACAAACGATCATTATTATAAAGCAGATGGAGGAGGAAGCAGTTCTACATTTTCAACACCCGGACTCTGGTTCCAGAATCTAGCGCTGCCTGCCAAGAGCAATGGCATTTGCGCAAATTATTAAATCACCCACAACGTTCTGCCTTGAGCCGGAGGCGAGACTTCATCCCCAACCCCAACCATGACACCCAGGGCGGTGCGAGCACCAGGGCCAGCGCGTTTTGAGAAAGCGAGGCCCGCAAAGGGTGAGGCGAGCCCATAAGGATAACTCCAAGTTTCCCAAGCGGGGACCCGAACACAAAGTCCCAGCCCTAGCGCAAGCTGCAGAGCCGCTGCTCCCCAGGCTCCCCGGAAAAGGAGAGACCCTGCACCGCGGAGCGGGACTGATTTCCTGCAGCCAATCAATCCACCCTGCACACACCCGAGCCCGCCGCCCTCACCCCGCAGAGCCCCCAGACCCCACTTCCACGGTCCCGCTAAGTCCCTCCGCTCCGCTCAAGAGGAGACCAGCCACCGCCCCTCTCTGACCTGGCCCCGTGGGGTGCGAGTCGGCAGCGCGACGCCTCCATGCCCGCGGCTCGGAAGGTGGCAATCCAGCCAGACCCCGGGACGCCGCTGCTAGGGTGGCAAGCCTGGCGGGCGGCCGGGCCCCGCCCCCTAGCAACCGCACCCCGCACTGTTGCCGGCAGCTATTGGCCCCCGCGCGCGCCGCTGCCCTGCCATTGGCTGTGGCCGCCGCCCGGCGTTGCAGGAGAGTTGCCAAGGGGCGGGGGCTCAGGGACTGGAAGGCGCCTGCGCGGGGGCCGGGGCTGACGCGCCGGCGTTCGGTCCTGCGGGCGCTGAGCCTGGAAGGGGCGGAGGGCGGAAGGACGAGTTGGCTCCGCAGCGATGCCCATCCCCCCACTAACTGTCACATGGGGAGCGGCCCACGCCGCCCCGCCGTTTGCACCTAGAGACCACCCGGAGAGCTTCCAGCTTCTGCGAAGTTGGGACCCCAGACCTCCGCCCGCACTGCTTCCTCCGACCCCTCCGACTGCAGGCCTTTCTCAACCACAATGCACACGCTCGGGCAGCCATTCCTAGTCCGAGGCATCTATGGGAGTCAGCTAGGCCCACATATGGGCCACATATGGGCCACGCAAAACTCCTGCCCCACTCCAGCCGAAGCTTTTAGACCACTCCTAGGCTGCTCTCGGGCTCTGTCTTTTCCATCTGTCTGCAGCCTGTAGATCTTCAAGCATCCACATCCCGTACTGAGAACTTTTAATGACTACTCTTAGCCGATAAGTTACTCGTTTTCTCTCTAATCAACTTATATAGAGCGTGTGGTCCCCGCAGCATCCTGACAAGTTACTCCACGTTGACCAGTTTCCAGCACCTGGAGGTGAACGTTGTTTCCACGTTGCTTTGAGTTTCTAAAATGGCATAGAACTTGGCTACGGCGAGCCAAGCACCTCCTAGCCAGCCTCTACTTACCTTGTGACCCTGAGCTTGGCTCAGTAGCTACCCTTCAGATTTCCACTTGTAAAATAAACAGCGTAATCAATCCCTGCTTGTCCAGCTCAGGCTGGACCCCTGACACCCCAGATGCTCTTTGTACGGGTGAAAGGGTGGCTGGGACACTCCCTTGACTGGGCATTCCTGCATTAATTACACTAAGAAGTAACATTTTTTGAAAACTATCCACATTTGCACACACTTTTAGACATTTACTGTAAGAAATCATGTTTCCGCCATAGTTAATATTTTGACTAGCTCCTTTGGTTGGAGACAAAAAAAATAAAAACCAGCAAACCTAAGTAATGTATCTCCCCATCCAGATGTATTCACTAACCCATGGCTAGCTGCCCTTGCTTCATGGAGCCCTTCAGCAGATAACCCCAGGCGGCAGTGATGGCAGCTTGGCTGTAAAGTCAGTGTCTCTGATTTTTTTCTGTCCATCAGGGCACAGAGGAAGCTGCCACTGAACAGGTACTGGAAATTGTACCAATGAATTAGTCCGTATGAGGGTGCTGAGGGATTGAGGCCAGGGGAAGTAAAAAAGCTTGTGTAGACTAACAGAAGGTTTCTCTAAAAACTTTCTGAAAACATTTATTTACATACATTTTAAACATTTACTAGAAGATACTTTAAAAATTTAAACTGTTAATATTAGAAAGATATAAAGTAAACTGTTTATGACACTAAAAACTGTTTATAATACAAGATATTTTAAAAAGCAAATCTGGGAATTTAATTCCCTGTAACTCCAAGGTGCTAGTTAAAATATCTTTTTTTCTAATGATGTTATTAGTGTTATTTTCATTTTATTCTATTGATGTATTCTCTTGTGAGCCACAAAAGTGACATAGCAACCTCATGAAAACCAGCAATCAATTCCTTGAGACTACTGATAAGGAGGCTAATGTCTGAAAAATCCAGTCAGCTTTTCACAAGGAACTGGCTTTTACTCAGCTTCCCTGTCTCCTGGAGATAAGTTAACAGGTGCCGTCGTCTCCTCCACGTGACCTTTATCCCATACTTGTCCTCTGGTGTGTCTTCAGCCAGAACAGGCACAGGCTGTGGGCTCTTGGGGGTACTAGAGTAAAGGGAGCCACTTGGAAGGACGGTTTCCCTCAGGTCTGGGGGAGTAGGCCCTTCCTTCACAGATGACTCTGGGGTCTGGATATCAGGTGGGATGAACACATAAGACAAGCTTTGAAGCATCTGTTCCCCACAGCTTTGGGGACTGAGCATTGGAACCAGGGGCCTTCCAGAAACGTCCTGTTCTGGTTGAGCAGGGCACTTCCTGATCAAAGGGATCTCAGCTGTGGATGAACTGGAAGAAGTCTGTGGTGTCTCAAAGGTTAGATGGGGAAACTTGGAGGTGGTAGATTTTCGACTTGAATGTCTTGTTTGGTCTCGGCGAAGAGATTTCCGGTGGGTTGGGAACCAGCTTTCTGCTGTTGTATCAAATTGAGGCGATACCTAAAAGGTGAGAAGAGCCGAGCATGAGAAAGGAAACGCTATCCAGTGACCAGAACCCAGAGTGAAGATCCACTCAAGGAGCGCACATAAAACACACAAATAGTCACCTAATGGGATGTTGACAGAGCATGAGCTTTGCACAGTTACTCTTTCACACTAACCCCCACACCTAGCAGAGTGCCCAGCACAATGATGGCCCCCGGTAAATAAGGAATGACTGACTGCAAAAGTAGGGAGTAAGACCAGGCAAGAAAAACTAGCCTAGGGCCTGGGCCATGATGAGTTCTCAATGAATGTTCATTCTTCTTTATCACCACATTAAACATTCCTCACCAGTCCAAAGGCAGGTAGGAAGGCTCCTCACAAGCAACTCTGCACAAGTCGCATTTATTAAGCACTTTTAAGCCAGGTATGCTTCTGCCTGGCCCTTTTGCTATCTACTTTCCTGACACATAAAAGCTATTTTCTCTTCCCAGTGCTTTTAAACAGTCAATATATGACACATGCTGTTTCTGTACGGTGTTTTTCAAGGTTCACTCCATTAAATGGTAAAGGGAATAAATACCTCACTATAAACTCCACCTCCCAACTGACGCTCAGGGAACAATATTTTTTTTTACTTATTCTGCCCTCTGTCTGGCATTCTTACCCACCCACAGAGCCATGAAAGTTTCATACCAAATTATTTCGGAGGAATGTTTAATGATTCGGTTGAACTTAGATCATATACCAAAAAGAAAAAAAGGAAACAAACAAAAAACAAAAAATACCAGAGAAGATGGCTGACAACAAAGTGCACTGCTTCCTGTCCCTCACCCCATGAATCTTCCTACTGTTTAGAGGCCCTGGGTGTGGGGCAGAAGAGGCAGTGTGAGTAGCCTGCAGGAGTAGAAGTAGAAGAATGCCACGGCCTGCCTACCCAGGAGGTGATGGTGCTGTGGTCAATGGGCTTGCTGGGCACCTGTCTGGTGTGGGTGGTAGGCCGCTGCGGATCTCTAGAGTGGTGTTTGGGGCCCTCCAGTGGTGGCTGGTGGAATAGCAGCTGGGCTTTCTGGGCGCTTGGACATCTTTTTTTTCTGGGAGGCATCAATAATTAGAAGCCACATGATGCTGGAGGTAGTCAGACTGAGGGCGATGCTCCAGTTCCAACCCATGCCTGAAGAAAAGACAAAATCTGGGATCAAATAATCCCACAACGTTCCCACCCTTTCTTAAACTGGGTCACATTCTGTAACTACTCCCTCTGTCCGCAAGGTAATGGAGAGCACAGCTTGTTACACCAACACCATGGAGTAAAAACACACTGGTTCACACTCAACAATGTTCCTTCAGTGAACATTTATCAAGCACATGATAAGCGCCACGCTGGGTGTTAGGAATTTAAAGGTGTGCGACCATTTATCGTCAAACACCTAAAGGGACACAAAGATTGGACCATCCGTCAGACCCTGAGTCTGCCGGCCAACCGAGGATTAGGCGGGTGAAAGCAGAGCGCGCTCCAGGCTGGGGAGCAGCACGCATGAAGGTGCACGCGCAGGAAGATGCCAGCTGTCAGGTCGGTGGGCCCAGGGTAGGAAAAGGTGAATGAATGTTAAGAGCTGAGGCTGGACCTGGTGTCAGGGGATCAGGTCAGAACTGGGTGTGCCAGTCTGGACTTGAGCTTCCATAGTCACGGAAGATTTTCCAGCAGAAGAACATAATCACATTTGGGTTTTAAAAAAAAAAGTCTTAACCACCGCCCCGCACCCCCAGGACAATTCTGAACAAAATACAAAAGTAGACTGAATGAACCTCAACGTACCCATCACCCAGGAAAACTCCAGCAGCTGTGGCCAATCCTGACCACCACCTCCCATTCACTCCCCTATTCTGTATTCTTTTCTTTAAAAATATTTTTATTTTATTTATGCATACAAGAACTGGTGTACAGGCCAGAGGTGTGTGAGGTGAGAAGATTCACCAGAGACAGAGTGGGGAGCAAAATAGGTGCATCTACTAAAATCCACTGCTGAGGGGAGCAGCAGGCAAGACAGGAGAGGTCTGCTGCGCCATGTGGGGCAGCTCCCTGGATGGGGATGGAACTCATGCTGCAGTGCCTGGCAATCGTTAGCTTGACAGCACTGAGACTTTAACCCCTGGACCACCTGGGAGGCCCCCTATTCTGTGTTACTTGGAAGAAAATATCATGTTCCCAGTTATTGTATCATTCCCATGAATACAACTAATATATATTTATATATTTACATATTTTATATACACATTTATATACACTAATACTTGTAACGATTACTTAATATCAACTAACCAGACAGTGTTCAATTTTTCAACTGTCTCATAAATGTCATAATTGGCTTTTTGCTTGTTTTTTCTTTTAGACATGTCATCCTGGCAACAGTTGTAAAGGAAAGAATACCCTGAAAGTAAAGAGAACAGTTAGGAGCTTGCTTTGTTACCCAATAAGAAATGACAAGGTTGGACCTGGTCTCTGTCAGTGGCACGGGGAGGCTACCACGAAAAAGAGGCAGGACCACGAAACCCACAAAATGATTAAAAACTCTGACAAAATGTTCACCGAATCTGGTCATCTGATGGGCTTTTATAAGAATTTCCTCAATGCACTGGTGGGAAAGAGATTT